AATTAACGGTGCGTGTCGGGAAGGGGGAGGAGGTAATGTCATATTGCAGCTGTTAGGGAGTGGGTTAAGTACAGAGGGCAATTACCCCGGGAGATAATTATAATTAAATAGTAATTGACCTGGAATAATAAACAAGTTTGCAACACGACCTCCTGCCGACGTGAGATCTGAATTCAAAACCGTCTGGCTGGCAGCCAAACGCTCAACCAATCGACCAACCAGCCATCAGAAGTATCACACTTCGTATAAAACAACTTACATGCTCCAGTTCGACATTCAACAGATGTAAGTACAGAGGGCAATTACCCCGGGAGATAATTATAATTAAATAGTAATTGACCTGGAATAATAAACAAGTTTGCAACACGACCTCCTGCCGACGTGAGATCTGAATTCAAAACCGTCTGGCTGGCAGCCAAACGCTCAACCAATCGACCAACCAGCCATCAGAAGTATCACACTTCGTATAAAACAACTTACATGCTCCAGTTCGACATTCAACAGATGTAAGACAAGGTTTCAAACGTCATTAAAGTCTAAATGCTGACGTGCGCTTTCTGTATTATGTTTGTTGTGTGATCACACACGGTTTTTTTATTTTCCACATGTCATCGTTTATCCTATCATCGTGTATTGATCGTTTACTTTTTCTAACAAGTTGGTCTGTATGCAATTGTTGTGATACAATTGATTTTTTTTAAAGTTGCTTAAAAGTCAAATTTGTTATGGAGGTATAATTAAACTATTTAAACATACCCACGTCAAAAATGTAGGGTTTGAAAAGTCTCTAGTGTAGACTGAATCGATCCACGGTAGCAATATAAATAAAGCTGGAGTGATCTCCCCTAAACTTTTTCGAATATTCTTAAATGACACAACCCGGGATATAGATATGATTTTTAATCTATTTTTAATTACTTTTTAAAAAATATAATAGAATCTCGTAGAAAAAAGGATTGCGCACCAAGCAAACAACAAACAATGTGTGTAAAATTATGTGGAATATTAGTACTTTATAAATTCAAATTAGTTTTTTTTTAATCGAAAATAATGTAAAGTACTATTTCCCTTTAATGGAAATTACTCAAAATGTGATAAAAAGAAGACAATTAGATATGTTACTTATATGTGAAATTGTATTTATCAGTACTCAAGTTATAGGCTTTTAAAAAATCAAAAGTAAAATAAGGTCCACTTTAGTTTTCCAGAAATCGATGAAAAACACAAACACATTTGATTTATTACTTAAATATGAAATTTCATCAACCTAGCTGCAACAGTAGTCAAGTTATCGTGTTCACAGACATTCACGCACAGACACACACATACATATATCCACACGCAGAAACACACACAGAGACACGAATTTTGCACGATTTTTGCACGATTACAGTGCATCCTCTATATTGCGAATACGATAAAGTGAGCAGGTGTAAAACGGCGAAAACTTTCAAAATTTTATTTTATTTTCTGTGCGCAGCTACAATACTTTCTCTACATTCTGTACAAGAGAAAGTAAACAATGAATATATCTCTAGAGTGACCACGTTTTAGAGTTCAGATAAAATCACACAAACGGCGCTTAACTGGACGCCGCATGGTAAAAGAAAAGACGTGGGGACGCACAATAGAATACATACTGCCAAGAAAATTGCAAAAAGCAAACGAGAAATTAGTTATCTGTCTCAGGGCCATGTGCCTCGTGCGAAAAAGGAAGTGAAAAGATGAACAAAAACGTGGTGCATTATAAATGACGGAACAGATTTACGTATTTATTTTATTAAGGGAACAAAACTTGTAATCCCAAAGTGTCATTGAGTCATTATGTCTTTAAATAAAATGAACACCTGTTTGTTTAACTCTTTCTATACCAGAGGTGTTTCCACCTCCTGACCTCATTATTTTCGTGACCCAATAGTTTTTACATAGGCCTTAATTACTTAAACAATTATAGTTCCTATGTTTTCCTAATCAGATTTATGTATTATACATCAAAATGAAGACACATGAATTCATCCACTCATCAAGCATAACGAGTGCTTTTTCAGCTCAAAATCGCTTGAGATGGCGTTGCACTGATGGACCTGATTCCATAATGAATTTTTAAAATGTAAACACGAACTTTAAAATTGTATAAAACACACGTGTAACACTTCCAATGCAACATTTTTTAACCGAAAAGAAAGGCCCGGATGTAGTGTATTTTTAAAAAAATGGATTTGTATAAGTTAGTTTAAATATTGGACTAAATTTTCGCGTGAACCAAACACTAGGGGTGTCGAGCCGCAACTTGCGGCTCGTGGGCCTACGGTGAAGCTGGCTCGAGCCGCGAAATGCGGCTCATTGGACAAACTGAGAGTGTCATTGAGTCATCATGTCTTAAATAAAATGAACAACTGGTTTTTTTTAAAACATAATCTAAAACAAAATAAAATGCGTCTGCATTTTCTACATTTTGATAACTGCTGATATATAATAAAATAAAAATGTTTTCAATTATTATAACGTGTTTCAAATGACGGTAAAAGTCACAAACGTGGTTTGATCCGTCATCAAATATTGTGAGCTTAACAATTCTAAGTAAGATGACATGTTTCCAATACATCAACACATATCTAACCTACAAGGTTATCACACTCACTCGGGAAAGTAACAACGGATGATGTGAAGTTGCTCATTCGTTTCAAACGTCGTACATGTGTTTAAAATAGAGATACACGTTTCTCGGTCTAATCAATAAATGGTAAGAATGGTTTGACACTAAATGCGGAAGAACATTCAGCTAGTGGTAAACAGGAGAGACATTAAAGACTATTATAAAGAACAAAACAGCTAGTGTAAAATAAACATTTTGTTAAAGAGGAATACACAATTAGTTAAAGATATATAATTAGGTAAAGAGAAATAAGAAACCAGTTAAAGGGAAATAATTAGGTAAAGAGAAATAAGAAACCAGTTAAAGGGAAATAATTAGGTAAAGAGAAATAAGAAACCAGTTAAAGGGAAATAATTAGGTAAAGAGAAAAAGAAACCAGTTAAAGGGAAATAATTAGGCAAAGAGAAATAAGAAACCAGTTAAAGGGAAATAAACATGGGGAACAACCAAATAGTGAAAAACGAAAAATCAGTTAAAGGGAGATAAAAAAAAAGCGAACAAACAAGGTAGTGAGAAATAAACAATCAGAATGAGGGGTGAAAAAATCATGTAGGCTATAGCGAATTTTTAAAAACAAGGTGGGAGGGTGAGGGGGGGGGGGAGGGAAGAACCCTCAGTTTAAGTTAAAAAGGAAAAAAAAAACATCAAGAAAATGGAAAGCAATATACTAGAGGGATTTAAGCAACTACCTAGTGTCCTATAGGAAAGGACAAGCATAAGATAAGATTTAGGTAGTTGGGGAAAACCAGTAGTTATAGGAAAATAAAATTAAAAAACACTAAAAGCAACCATAAGGTAGTGGACAATAAACAAACGAGCAGTTTTAGATTAACTAGCTTCATATAGATATCGCATATCTTTCGACCCAAGTAACGGTCATTTAAATTTATAATATTTAATTATAGAAAAATGCGTCAGTAAATTCTGATCAAACGCAAATACATTATAGCATTCTCATTAATGTTCAACATACGTGTCTACCTTGCAGGTAACGTTTTGACATTAAATTATAGTTAATGTGTAGCTGTAATGATCAATACAAAACAGATGGACTGAGCTCATAAACATGTACAGCCATTGCTATATAAAACCCATAAAGGGTGTCAGGATAAAATTACATAAATGTATGTTTGTATCGATGTATGAATTATATGATATGTGGACGTGTCGGCGGGCTAGTGCTGGCTAGATGAATAAGTTGAGAGGAATGGTGGATAGGTGGATCAGTGGATGGACATATGGATGGATAAGAGGATGTATAAAACGAAGGATATTTAAATGTATTGATGGATGTATAGATAAATATATGGAAGTATGGATGCATGGATGTAAGAATGAATAGATGGAAGGATAGGTGGATGGATGGATGGATTGATGGATGGACGGAAGGATAGACTGAAGGATGGATGGACGGATGGACGGATGGACGGATGGACGGATGGACGGATGGACGGATGGACGGATGGACGGATGGACGGATGGACGGATGGACGGATGGACGGATGGACCGATGGACGGATGGACGGATGGACGGATGGACGGATGGACGGATGGACGGATGGACGGATGGACGGATGGACGGATGGACGGATGGACGGATGGACGGATGGACGGATGGACGGATGGACGGATGGACGGATGGACGGATGGACGGATGGACGGATGGACGGATGGACGGATGGACGGATGGATGGATGGATGGATGGATGGATGGATGGATGGATGGATGGATGGATGGATGGATGGATGGATGGATGGAGGGAGGGAGGGACGGAGGGACGGAGGGATGGAGGGATGGAGGGATGGATGGATGGATGGATGGATGGATGGATGGACGGACGGACGGACGGACGGACGGACGGACGGACGGACGGACGGATGGATGGGATGGATGGGATGGATGGATGGATGGATGGATGGATGGATGGATGGATGGATGGATGGATGGATGGATGGATGGATGGATGGATGGATGGATGGATGGATGGATGGATGGATGGATGGATGGATGGATGGATGGATGGATGGATGGATGGATGGATGGATGGATGGATGGATGGATGGATGGATGGATGGATGGATGGATGGATGGATGGATGGATGGATGGATGGATGGATGGATGGATGGATGAATGGATGGAAGGATGGATGGATGGATGGATGGATGGATGGATGGATGGATGGATGGATGGATTTGATGAACCGGCAAACGGTTGATAATAAGAAGATAAAGATATCTTCAATCAAATCAATAGTTTTGTTGATGGGGTTGACGGTTGTGAAAAAGGGGCGGGTCCTTAGCATTTCCAAAACAACAAAAGTTACTACTTTTAAATAATACTATTGGATACCGAGCATATATAAGATCATACAAATGAGTCAACACTCTACATTAATCTCATTTCTGTTTAGATCAGCTTAATCGTTTTGGTAAGTACATTTTCTTTACTTACACCTGGTTACAATTTTCACTATCGATCGAATTAGAACAGTTTTACTTTTTTCAAATGAAATGTCAATTTTGTTTTGGTCAATCTGGTGATATATATATATATATATATATATATATATATATATATATATATATATATATATATATATATATATATATATATATATATATATATCCACTAAAGCTATTCTGCTTGTGTTTCTAACGGTTTAGATGAAATGAGGTTTTCTTTTTCGATCGTTACAAAAATGTCTGAGGTAAATACCGAATCGCTTATGTAGCATGTACAATCTTCAAAAGACGGAGTGTTGGGTCCGTATTGGTAAAAGTATGGGGGCCGGCGTGGTCGTGTTGGTAAAGCTCATGGCAGCTTAACAGACAAGTCCAGAGTTCGAACCCCTTGGAAGATGCGGCGCTATTGCTGGGTTAAGTAACTCTTCGAGGAGAAACCACTTGTAGTTTGTTCTTGGGTGGACAAAGGCTACAGAAGCAAATCCAAATAGAAAAAACAGATGGAAACTGGAATCAACGGCGAATATAACAGCATGGTATCTAATTATGTAGGTGGTAATCTCTTCCAAGATCTTAATTAAGAACGAAGAAGAGAGGCAGAAGATTTATGTCTTATGATCGTTGATTTAAAATTCATATCCATTTTAATAAATACTGAATTTCTTGATCCAACAAAACTTGTTAAACATTTTATCCAGGTTATTTTTGACTCCCACAATCTACACTACTGAAATATGGAGTTAGCGTGTAGTAAAATCATCGTCGCAGTTTTAATCCTCTCCTGCATATCCCATGCAGATGGTGAGTAGATTGCTCACATTATGTGTTTGTACATAAATAAACAAGCCTAGCACAATTGTGTTGGTTTGAAATAAATAGTTTAATTCGATATTGTTTTTTTCGATATGTTTTAACACTGACCTATCCCATTTTCGACAATGATACAAAAAAAAATTAAGTCATTTCTTAATAATAAAAAAAAACTTTTTTTCAGCAAAATGTATGTGCCAACAGATTATGCAATATGAATCTGGAGAACTAGTCTGTTCTTGTCGGACCGGCTATGTGGTCAACAGCATCGACCCTACCAAGTGTATTGGTAGGAACGTTGGTTTCACCTCAATTCTTTCATATGTTGTATTGTAATCATGTATGTCCTTTTAACATAAGCAAGCCCCATGAACAATAATGGTACTATATTCTCTAGCCACTAATACAAACCTCTCACTTCCTCTTATAAAATGGTACTATATTCTCTATCCACTAATACAAACCTCTCACTTCCTCTTAGAAAATGGTACTATATTCTCTAGCCATTAATACAAACCTCTCACTTCCTCTTATAAAATGATACTATATTCTCTAGCCACTAATACAAACCTCTCACTTCCTCTTAGAAAATGGTACTATATTCTCTAGCCACTAATACAAACCTCTCACTTCCTCTTATAAAATGGTACTATATTCTCTAGCCACTAATACAAACCTTTCACTTCCTCTTATAAGTTGGTGTTAAATCCTCAAGCCACTAATACAAACATCTCGCTTCCTCTTATAAGCTGGTACTATATAGCCTACACCAGTTGTTTTTTTTCGCTTTATGATACACATATCGAGCCTAATATGACAACAAAGGATGTGATTAATCTGTGGTATAGTTTATGTAGCGTCAAAAGCAGTGTATAATTTGGGAACATTTTGCATTCGGAAAAAAAAATTCCAGATAATTTAAATGACACATTATAGAATAAACAAAATCTTGCCCTGTATAAGCGTAACATTTTATATAATATAAAAAATATACTATTTTCAGACATTGATGAATGCAAAGATCCAAGCACAAACTGCTGTCAGCACAAATGTATTAACACCGTGGGAAGCTATAAGTGTTTTTGTAATCCTGGATACGCCATCAGCAGCACCAACTTTACACGTTGTTTAGGTAGGTTTTTTTCGTGGCAATAAGAAAATCAATTAAACTATAGGCATACTCGATCTCTATGTAGCATTCACTATTGGTAAATCGTTACTGTATTTTAGGCTTCAACACTGTGCATAATTAATGTATATATATATTAATATATATATATATATATTAATATATATATATAATTAATATATATATATATATATATATATATATATATATTAATATATATATATATAATTCAAACCGGAATGAAAGCTATACTATTGCTACTTACAACGTACATGTAATTTTCTAGAAAGCGTATTGATAGATTGATTAATATACTCACATAAGTAACAAAAAAAACGCAGTTTTGTTATTTTGTAAGGCAAGTACAGGGTATATTAAGATGTTATGCATATAAACACATTAAAATTACTGCAACGAAAACCGCAATATGTATTAAGCGGGCTTAATCACACAGAGCGTAATCCATATTTGTTGTGAAAAAATTATTACATATATTACACAATTATTTTTCAGACATCGACGAATGCAATGATGAAAGCACAAATCGTTGTGAGCAGATTTGTACCAACACAGAGGGAAGCTACTCGTGTTCTTGTTATCCAGGATACACCATCAGTAGCTTAAACCCCAGAAATTGTGTTGGTACGTTTTTTGTTAGACCAGGCACATTTTGTTTTTTTCTTAACATATCTTTAAGTAGCAATATATATATATATATATATAAGTGTGTGTGTGTGTGTGTGTGTGTGTATGTGTGTGTGTGCATGTGTACGACATTTATTATCTACCTCAAACATTTCAGACATTGACGAATGCAAAGATCAAGACCCAAGTCCATGCCAACAGAAATGTACCAACACTGAAGGAAGCTTTTCGTGTTCATGCAATGCTGGATACGTACAGGATAGCACTGATCCAAATAGATGTGTTGGTAAGTCAACGAATGTGATAGGGCGTTTATTATAGTTAGCACATATTGATTAATATAGATATATATATATATATATATATATATATATATATATATATATATATATATATATATATATACATATATATATATATTCTGTAATAAGAAAAAAAAAAGTGTGCATAGCATGTAGGCCTACTTGTTGAATAAATTCTTACAAACTTCTTTCAACATTGAACGCTAATCCTTAAAGAATTTTTTTTTTAAAAGTAACATTAATTTATAATATGAGTGCAATTAAAAGAATTTTAGTAGTAAATTACATAAGTCTGTATTCAGTTGAGTAGGGCCTTTACAATTTTTTCAAATATCATCGGAGGATCACTATGAATACTTGTTTAAATAAATCAAAATATTTTCAGACGTGGATGAATGCAAAGATCAAAGCACAAATCGTTGTGAGCAGATTTGTAATAACACAGAGGGAAGCTACTCGTGTTCTTGTTTACCTGGATACACTTTAGCTGGCTCAAACCCCTATAACTGTAAAGGTAATTATGGTGAAATATCTAGACACAATTTAGAAAAATAATTTATCTCTAAACTCTTGGACTCTTAGGATTCCAAATAATTGTGATGCTTTATCTATAGCATGTTCTTGAGTTGATAATTGTAAAGTGCTTTTTTAAGTTTGTTTTAAAATAATTTAGACAAAAAGGCAAATTTCCTAATATTATTTTTATCTAAACATTGCTACTAGTTCTACTTTTTGTTTAGCAACTTTGTAAATCTTTTGTTAAACTGTGATCACTGGCTTCAGAGGCGTATTCAGGTTCTCCGTTTAAGAGGGACGGCGAGTCGGTAAAAAGTTATAAATATATATATATATATATATATATATATATATATATATATATATATATATATATATATATATATATATATATATATGTATATATATATATATATATATATATATATATTTCTTACACACCACAAAATTCAACAACATTCAATATATACATAACACAATAAAGGCAAGAAACGAAAAACTTCTTTCAAATTTGTAAAAATTAATTTCCGAGAAAGGCACCACTATCTTTAAAATGGTCGTATGGTGTTAGGCTGCTCACCCCTCCTCCCCCTACCAGATACTGATTTCTATATATTTCTTTTCATTTCTTCTTCTTAAATTTTCTTTAAACACGTACTCTGCTATTCATCATTTGCTTTCTACTTTATGAAGGTGGAACAATGTGTAAAACCGATCGAAATTACTTGATACGCAAACGTTTTCTGATATTTACACTTCCAGTGCTTTCTGACTTTATTTTAACCACAAACTAAAAGCTTCTTTTTGTTCTAATGTTAAGTAATAAAAACAAGACGTATATTTAGTTCAATGCTACTTTTAAGCGTTTTGATTCGGCCTTTCTATTCTGATAAAAATATTTCAGACATTGACGAATGTAAAGATCAAAACCCAAGTCCATGCCAACAGAAATGTATCAACACTGAAGGAAGCTTTTCTTGTTCATGCAATGCTGGATACGTACAGGATAGCACTGATCCCAGTAGATGTGTTGGTAGGTCAATGAATATGACAGAGCGATTATTACATTTAGCGCAAACTGATCTGATAAAAATATGTTCTGTAATCACATACACTTTCATAGAAATGAATAAGTGCAATATATTTACTAATTAGGTTATGTTTAGCTTACTTCACACACGATTATATTACATTTAAAACGACACATGTAAACATAGTTATATTGGTGTAAAACAGTTATATAATTAAATATAATAGAAAGTTCATTCGATTATGTAGGGCTTTATCAATAAAAAAAAGTGCTTTGTCGCTGCGGATATAATATGTTTATTACATTATTTTTTTTCCAGACGTTGATGAATGCATAGATCAAAGCACAAATCGTTGTGAACAGATTTGTACTAACACTGTGGGGAGCTACTCGTGTTCTTGTTTACCTGGATACACTGTTGCTAGCGCAAACCCCTATAACTGTAAAGGTAATTATGGTGAATTATCTACTCACAATATAGATCAAATAAATCACTTAACTCTTAGACTCGTTGGGTACCACACATTTATTACGCTTTTTGTATAGCATTCGCTTGAGTTAATAATTGTGCTATGTTGTTTCTCCTTCTTTCTATTTTAAATAATATACACAAAAATGAAGTTGCAGTTTATGTTCACAATGCTGCTAGCAATACTTTTTATGTTGTAACTCTTAGTATATTTTTTCCCTTTTGATCCCCATCCACCAATCGATTCTTACTTTTCTAATTTCTTTCTTTCTTTCTTTATTTATTACACTTACATAGTCATTCGTAATTCGTTATCTGATCTACTAACGCCAAGCGATGACTAAAAAGGTGGGAATGATGTTATATCACATAGATATGTTCTTATATTTACACTTGTAGAACTCTCTTCAATAGTTCAAAGATCGAAATAACCGCGGCATACATTCTAAAACGTAAAGTTTTAAGCATAAAATTAATATTATGTTTAGGCTACATAAAGCGTTTATATAAGGCTACCACAGTCTGACAAAAACATTTCAGACATTAACGAATGTAAAGATCAAATTCCAAGTCCATGCCAACAGAAATGTATCAACACTGAAGGAAGCTTTTTGTGTTCATGCAATGCTGGATACGTAATGAATAGCACAGACCCCAATAGATGTGATGGTATGTCAACGTATGTGATAGGGTAATAATTATAGTTAGCGCATACTGATCTCATAAAAATGTTTTCTATAATCACATACGCTTTCAAAGAAATGAATTGTTGTAATATATGTACTAGTCCCGTTATGTTTAGCTAACTTCACACTCGATTATGGGTTTAACATTCAAAATGACATATGTAAACATATTTATATTAGTGTAAAACAGTAATATAAGTAATTTAAATAAAGTCTTCATTTGATTATGTAGGGCTTTATCAATTTATATTTTGTAAAACTGCAGGTTCATTGTTGAAATATGTTTATTACAAAAAATATTCCCAGACGTGGATGAATGCAAAGATCAAAGCACAAATCGTTGTGAGCAGATTTGTACCAACACTGTGGGGAGCTACAGATGTTCTTGTTTACCTGGATACACTGTTGCTAGCGCAAACTCCAATAACTGTAAAGGTGAATATGGTTGATTATCGTGACACTAAATAGAATAAATAAATCATCGTGTAACTCTTTGAGTCGTTTGGGTACCACAGGTTTATGACTTTTTTGTATAGCATGTTCACGAACTGACACTTGTAAAAGTTATTCTTTAATCTAACTTAAAACAATACAGACAAAAATATAACGTCGATATCAGTATTCATTGGTACACATTTTTGCAAGTGCTACTACTTCTTTTGAAGCTAATTAATTGTTTATTTCATAGTGTTATTTATAGCTACTAAATGATTGCTATACGGTTTCAATTCCTTCATTTCTAATATTTCTTTAAACACATACTTTGACATTTATAATTTACTTTCTAATATATAAAAATTGAAATGATCTAAAGTGGATAAAATTAATGTGACCACATGACACATTTTCATATATTTATACTTTCAATACTTTTTGACATTGTATCAACAACAATCTAAAAGCGGATTTTATTCTGACATTTATAAACAATAAGCACAACAATACTATTATGTTGAAGGCTATTCTAAAGGAAATATACTGGGCCTATAATTATATTCTGAACAATGTATTTCAGACATTGACGAATGCAAAGATCAAACACCAAGTCCATGCCAACAGAAATGTACCAACACTAAAGGAAGCTTTTCGTGTTCATGCAATGCTGGATACGTAAAGAATAGCACAAATCCCAATCGATGTGTAGGTAGGTCAACGAATGTCATAGGGCTATTATTATATTTAGCACTTACTGAACGGACAATTTATATATATACTAGCGTATCCGTCCTCGCGCGTTGCCGCGGGAATAGAAGAAAGTCCGACGAAATATATAAGAAGGGTTTCATCATTGCGTTACCAATCCAATATTCTTAGACTCGGGACCTTGTTTTCTAAAAGTGAGTTATTTAAATGTAAACAATGCCTATGCTTGTATCATAAATATCGGGACACTACCGCATGAAAACCTTGAGTGTAAATTTATCACTAGCCGAAATAATATGGTATAACACACTTCGGTGACCGCCCATGTGTCAGAGACATAGAGGGGCGCAAAGGCGCGACTTACCACCCCTGGCTCCTTAAAACTAACATGCACCATCGTGCCAAATAGCATCCCGTTAACAATGATGCAGATTGCGTCATTCGCTAAAGTGAAACAAATAAACATGATTTGTTATTTAACACGAACAAATTATTATTTGACGTGTTTTAAACATCAATGTGACTGATGCAATATGTTAGCGTGACTTATGGTCTATTCTTAGATGCTCGATTTCAATTTCTGATTGAACTATCTAAAAATAGATGCTAATTGCATCATTCGCAAAGTGGCGAAACTGTTTTGATTTTTTTACGGACAAAAAGAAACATCAAAGTTAATAATCTGAAAAATTAACCAAGGTTAGATTATTAACTTGGATTTTTCTTTTATTACATGGCCCTCAGCGACCCATGTGAGCCTTTGGGGGACGAAACAGACATTTTTATTTGCAGTCTAATCGAACCCTACCAGAGGATACGCTTGATTTAATTTAGTGAGCGTTTGTAACGCCCCATCCTATCCATTGTATATTACACTGTTTAGACTGAACGTAGTCACCATAGCGCTCACGGGAAAGAGCAGGGCGCCAAATCGCATCCTGACGGGGGGGGGGGAGGGGGCGCTAATGCAAAATTAAATCCCCCCCCACCCACCCACCCCTATTTCCCCCTCCCACCCCAGAAATCTTCTCGCGAGTATTCATTAAATTCCTAAAGTTTTATGGCACCGGGATAAATTGCGTCGAACCGCAATCGTCTTATATTTTTTATACCGTATATTGAGAAAAATCCCACCATTCCGTGGCGCCGCTCTTGCGAATTTTAAAAATGTTTTTTTTCACATAACCCTTCCCTGGAGTGTTCTAATCAACTCCTCCAAGTTTGATGGCGATCGGATGAACGCCGTGCCAACGCAATCGACGTTTATTTTTATATACAGTTTATAAGAGAAAATCGCACATTCCGGTGGCGCCGCCCTTGGGAAATTAAAAATGATTTTTTACAGAACCCTTCCCTAGAGTGTTTTAATCAAGTCCCTGAAGTTTGATGGCTATCGAATGAACGTTGTGAGACCGCAACCGGCTTTATTTTTATATACCATATATAGAGAGAAAACAAATCGCTCCCTTCCAGGGCGCTATCCCAGGGAATTTGAAAATGTTTTTAGCGCAGAAACCTCCCCAGGATTATTCTCAACATCTTCTCAAAGGTTCATGGCGATCGCGTGAACAGTGTAACCGCAATTCACTTTTATTATTTGGTATATATAGAAAAATCGCACCCTCCTGTGGCGCCGCCATTGCGAAATTAATTTTTTTTACAGAACCTTTCCCCAGAGTGTCTTAATCAACTCTCCTATAGTCTCATGGCTATCGGATGAATGGTGTCAAACCAAAATCGACTTTTGTTTTTATATACCGTATATAGAGAAATATCGCACCCTCCCTGGCGCCGCCCTTGCGAAATTTAAAAAAAATTATTTTTTTTACAGAACCCTTCCCTAGAGTGTTATAATGAACTCCCCAAAGTCTCATGGCTATCGGATGAACGCTGTCAAACCAAAATCTACTTTTATTTTTTATATACAGTATATAGAGAAAAACAAATTGCGCCCTGCCGGGGCGCTACCCCTGCGAATTTGGAAAAAACAAATTCCGCAGAGACCTCCCCAGGAATATTCACAACAACTTCCCAAAGTTTTACTGCGATGTGATGAGAGGTGTAGTATTGCATAAAAGACATTCATACATTGCTTTATATATATATATATATATATATATATATATATATATATATATATATATATATATATATATCTAGATAGGTAATTCTCTTCTTGGATACCACAGAAAACCCCAAGCTGTAAGCGCCTAGCAGGCCCCTCTCTTCCTCTCTAGTCATATCCCTACCACCCCCACCCCCACACGGTCTGGTGAGCTGTGGTTCACGCTAAATGTTTACAAACGTAGAGCCGGGTTTAGTGACGGCTATTAGGGGCAGATAAATACGTTTGAAACGATTTTAAACTTAGTGGAGGTAACTAAGAGGAGGCTGCTTTCACGGGGGGGGGTGTAGGGTAGGGGTTGGGGGAAAGGAGGGGGGGGGGGGGTATCGTCCTTAACCTACTGATAGTGTTTTAAAGCAAACATTTTTAGTGGTAGCATTGTTACTGTCGAATTCAAAAATTATGAATTACTGAAAAGTAGAAAATAAAACAACTAAATAGCGGCATATGATACGCCGCGGGTCGGCTTGGTTTTTTTTTTTTTAAATCAGATATCCTTTCATCTGAATGAATTGTTGCCGTGTATGTTCTTGTCTACAATTCGTTTGCATCCTCAAACATAATTGTACGCTTTATCTTTAAAAAAATAACATATTTAAACATAATTTAATTGATTCCAAGTATTAATCTAAATTAATTTTATTTGTTATATACAGAAAGTCTAATCCCATTCTTTAGGGCTTTAACCAGTTTTCTTCCACCGTTTTTTTTTCCGGGGGGACACTTAAAATTATGGGGGTGGGGGGGGGGATACTGTTGAAAGTATATATTTTCTATATTCTTCAGAGCTCCTTACCCCCCCCCCCCCCCCAGAAAAGATGCATGCAAGAAACACTGGCTTTAAAAATTGTACAAAAACAATGCAGGGTCACTGTGGAATACAGTTTATTACTTAGACAATATTTTCAGACGTGGATGAATGCAAAGATCAAAGCACAAATCGTTGTGAGCAGATTTGTACCAACACTGTGGGGAGCTACACGTGTTCTTGTTTACCTGGATACGCAATCAGCGTCAACAATTCCAACAACTGTAAAGGTAAGAATGGTGGATCATCTAGATAAAATATAAAATAAATAAATCTCTTAAACTCTTGAGGTCTTTTGGGCACAGTCTATTTGTGACGCTTTTTATAAGGTTTTATTTTACTTCCTTCCTCTGTGATTGGTCAGTCAGACTGGCGTCATATATCAAAACGGGTGAGCGAAATTTCGGGCATTTTGATCTGACGGATTTGTTTTAAAGATGGCACGTGGGTCAAGACTTCAAGAAAATGTACACTGGCATTAAATTTTAATTAATTGTTTTTCTAATTAATTCTGTATGAATTAATTTAAAAAAATGAAATTAGTAGGCTGATTCACTAACACAATTCTGCACTATTACACGCGCATTGTCAATGTCATTTGGTGCGCAGTAGTTTTTATTAATGCCACTGTATTGTAAATCAAAACTTTAAAGTACTAAAAAATGTGCATAAAAACATTGCTATTCATAATTTACTGACCAATTTAAAAAAAAATTGATCACTGTTAAAATTGAGTAAAATAACGTGAAAACATGCAAACTCTTTTTTACTTTCTCGTATACACGAAGTATAGAGAAAGTATTGTAATCGTGCAAAAAAAAAATCGAGATTTTTACAAATCTCGACGTTTTACACCTCACTGATACGGAAAAACATAATTTTGCGATCTTGTCCGTATGTCTGTGTGTGTGTGTGTGTGTGTGTGTCCGTGTCTGTGTGTAAACACGATTACTTGAGTACCGTTACAGCTAGGTTGATGAAATTTCATATATAAGTATTTTATCAACATCGTAGATCCGTTTCAACTTATGAGCGATTTCCAATAAACGGAATTGGTACTATTTCTACTTTGAATTTTTCAAAAGCCTATAACTTGAGTACTATTTCAGATAGATAAATGAAATTTCACAGGGAAGTAAAAGATCTAATTCGCTACTTTCTTACAAATGTTGAGTAATTTCCGTTGACCGGAAGTACTAATTTACGCTTTTTCCGATTTCTCAAAAAACGCACTTAAATTTATAAAGTGCTAATAATATCTCGCACATTTTATTAGGCGTTGACTCAGTGTGCAATTCTTTTTTTTTATGAGATTCTATTCCATTTTAAAAAGTTTAAGTAATTAAAAATGGATTACAAATATTGTCTATGTCCTGACTTGCCATCCCTCGTAGTTTTATATTAGAATATCCGAGAAAGTTTAGGGAAGATCACTCCCGGTTTATTTTAAAATAAAATTACACTTCCACTACTTTTTGACATAGTTTCAACAACAAACTAAAAGCGGAGTTTATTCTAAATTTAAAATAATAAGCTCAAAATTAATGTTCAGTAAGGCACATAAACAGGGCTTATATATTCTTGCAAAAATATTTCAGACATTGACGAATGCAAAGATCAAACACCAAGTCCATGCCAACAGAAATGTACCAACACTAAAGGAAGCTTCTCGTGTTCATGCAATGTTGGATACGTAAAGAGTAGCACAGATCCCACGAGATGTGTTGGTAGGTCGACGAATGTGACTGTTAAATCGTAAACAAATTCGTAAATCTGATACACTTTTATCTAAATGAATACAATTTGTTAAAATGTATGCATTTTGAAAGCTTTCTTGGCAAATTTTAAACTCGTATAAACATTTAACAAAATCATATATTGAAAATAATTATGTCAATTAAAAACATCAATCGAGCTAACTGAATAACCCGACAGTAGAAATTATCGAAAAACTTTGAATAACTTTGTAGAGCACAAACAATTCTACAAATATCTTCGCAGTGGCAGTTTTTGACACTATTTTGTAAAACAAAATATTTACAGACGCGGATGAATGCAAAGATCAAAGCACAAATCGGTGCCAGCACATTTGTACCAACACTTTGGGGAGCTACTCGTGTTCTTGTTTACCTGGATACACAGTCAGTGCCAACAATTCCAACAACTGTAAAGGTAAGTACACCAAATTTAAAAAACAAATTGCAATTTAAGTTTTACGAGTTTCCCTATACCGTTACTAACTCCGAAACACTCTCATATACATTAGTTTTTAACATATATATATATATATATATATATATATATATATATATATATATATATATATATATATATATATATATATATATAGTGTTTTCGTCTTCAATTTTTAAAAAAGCTTATTGTTGTATAAAAAAGCTTTAAAAGTTTTGAGCATTGACTTAATCAAGGCGTACACGGTTTAAATTATGTACCTTCAATAACAGTCTCAAATAACTCTACTGCAAATTATTAATCGTGTCAGTTGTTCTTAAGGTAATGTAAAGGGCAATAATTTAGTGATCGTCTGTGATTTAAAAAAAAATTTAGCCGTTTTTATCCTCTAAAAATCTCTTTCAGACATAAATGAATGCAAAGATCAGTCCCCAAGTCCTTGTCAGCAGATTTGTACTAACACACCAGGAAGTTTCTCGTGTTCTTGTAATGCAGGCTACACCATCAGCAGTACGGACCTCAGCAAATGTAAAGGTCAGTCATTAGTTAGTTCTGATCTACTCTGATCGTTATTATGCAACTTTAACGATTATTTGAACTGAAGATTTGTTTTTCACACAATCACTCATACTTTGTTTAAGCATTTATGTAAACATCAAATGTGGAGTATCATTTAAAAGAACCAAGTTATCTTAGTGATAGTCGAAAATGAATCAGATAGTATACAATTCTTAGATATTGGACATAATGTTTGGAAAAAGAAGAAAACCGCAAGAGTGAGGTAGACCCTTATGATCATATCACACATTTTTCTTGCAAGAACAATATGAACAGAGCTAACCTGCTAACCCGAAAGTCTCGATTTTAATTTCGGGTTCAAGTTAGTAGAAGATCCATGAGTCCACCCAGTCCTGATGGGTACCTAACACATGCTAGGGAACGTAAAGGCAGCTGGGCATAGTGCTGAAACACTATCCCTTCATATGCCGAAGTCGCATAAACAGCTTAACTCTACTTCACATTTTTATTTGCAATGCAAATATTGTAGGAGATTGCAGGTGCGAAATAAAATAATTCTAAAATGTAAACAACGTTTGCAACGCTAGTTTTTCTTCTGAGCTTTTAACAAAAAATTTCTTCAGGCACAAAGAATTATTATTATTTTTTTTTTCATTTGTAAGAATCAGCCTATCTATGACTTTTAACCAATGTCTATGATAACGTGTCCACTCTCAAACTTTCTTCTAATTTTCACATTTTGTTATTTTTAAAAAATATCTGTACAAATGACCGTAGACAATTTTGTTCTGAAAATGTTAAATAATAAGCAATCATTTAATTCGTACTTTCTGTTCATTTTATGTTCATTTTTGCATGCTCTGACAAAATCTATTTCAGACATTAATGAATGCAAAGATCAGTCCCCTTGTCAGCAGATTTGTACAAACACAATAGGGAGCTTTTCGTGTTCTTGTAAGGCTGGATACACCATCAGTAGCACGGATCCCACAAAATGTGAAGGTAAATCGAACAAGTTGTCAATTAAATCGTTTTATCAGTATAAGTTTGTGCTGGTCGTTCATAATTTTAAGTCGTTTATCTCATCTTTTATTCAAACAACCAGATTTTATCTAAGTACTTAAGTTATAGGTTTTTGGAAAACCGAAAGTAGAACAAATTTTACTTCCGGTTATCGGAAATCGCTAAAATGTTGAATAAAAACTTCCCTACACATCTATATACATAATTATCTTCTTGGAGACCATAGAAAACACCAAGTTGTAAGCGTGCCTCCTTGCAGCCCCTTCTGTTCCTCTCTAGGCATATCGCTACCACCCCCACCCCCACATGGTTTGGTGAGCTGTGGTTCACGCTTAATATTTACAATCGTAGAGCAGGGTTTAGTGACGGCTATTAGGGGCATATAGTTTAGTTTGAAACGATGTTAAACTTAGGGGAGGTAACTAAGAAGCGGCTGCTTTCACGGGGGAGGGGGGGGGGGGGTAAGTGTTGGTATAAAGGAGGGTTTTAGTGTTTTAAAGCCAATATTTTCAGTGGCAGCATTCAAATTATGAATTACTGAAAAGCAGAAAATAAAACAACTAAATAGCGGCGTATGATTCGCCGCTAGTGGGCTCGTTTGATGTTATACTTATGCATGAATTTTCATCAATCTAGCTGTAATGTTACTCAAGTTATAGTTTTCTTTAAAAAATTCAACATGTTTATTATCATGTGGACGAGATTATGTGCATTAATATGTTTAATGTGTTTTTTAAAGCACCATGTGATGCTTACGAGGTCGGAACACTTGTAAATTACACTGTATCATCTCACAAGGTAATCTTCAAAATAAAAAAAATTAGAAATTATAATAAAAATATTACGTATGCCTACTACGTTGCTTTACAAAATTTATTTCAATACTATAAAATTAAAATTTCGATTAGTTGACAAAAATATTTACATTATTATTTTTTTCATAAATTGTTTTACATATATTTAAAGGACAATTTTATATATCTCAGTATCCTACAGTTTATACCTACTAAATCACAATAACATTATATGTCTTTATAAGGCATAAGAGGTTACAGAGTAAATATTTTTATGATTCCTTTAAAATATTAAACAACTATCATTCATGTGATGTATGAAAACACTACTAATAATTTTACTTTTTACAATTACAGGCTTGCTTTGATATTTGTAAAGAAAATCCACTATGCATTACTTACACCTATGAGGTTGGTGTTCCAAGTAATTGTAGAGTGTTTCTACTGTCTGGGAACGTAACTAACACTAACATAGAATTAAGTGGATCTAGCTTCGTGACTTGTCGAAACGAAACAGGTTAGCAATTAATACTCTTTTCCGTATATATGTCTAAACAATAATACTTATTTATGTAAAAAGAACTCTGTAAAACTAGAGTTTGCCGAAAAAATATAATATCTCAGTGGCTGTTGAGTTAGAAATAGAAATAGAAATTGTTGTCTGATGAAATAACTACAAAATATTATACTGAAACTAAAATGTATACTTCGTAACTTGTGTATTTGTGTATAAAATAAAAGACTAACAAGCTAATTTAATTTTTTTTATTTAAGTGCAATGTTCTGCTTATGATGAATATGAAACGATATCAACAGCTCATAAAACCCATAAGGTAAAAAAATATTTTAGCTTTTTAATTATTTATTTCAACTTTGTCAAATTATCACTTTGTTTACTATATTAAAGTTATAAGTTAAGAAAAATAGGTTGTTTTATTATAAGCTGCATAACACTATGTATTTATGTTGTTGTTATCAAATTGGAATACAATACGGTCGAATACAATTCATATTTGATAACATTAATATATATATATATATATATATATATATATATATATATATATATATATATATATATATATATATATATATATATATATATATATATATATATATATATATATATATATATCCACGGATCAATGGTATTACCGAATCTTACGCGGCCGTATTTTGAATTGACATTTTTAAAATTACAAAATGTATTAAACATTAAATTTAAATTTAGTATATTTGATAAAATGAAGCGGGAGTGATCTTCCCCAAATTTCTCAACTATTCTGATGTAACACTAAGGGGATGGGGTCATTTTTTTCTCCGGGGGGGGGGCTTTTGATATTTCGGGGTGGGAGGGGGAGGTCAACGTTTTCCCGGGGTGGGGGGCGGACACTGGTAATGTTATATATAATTTTCTATAAAAATTCAATTTTGTTCGGTGGGGAGGGGGGGGGGGGGTAGACTTTCTTCGAAGGGGGGGGGGGGGTTGGGGCAGAGTGTGCCCTAAGAAAGTATTGAAGCGAGATTTTGTTTCACTTCCAAGATTCTCATCTACAGGCTTGTTTTATGTCTTGCGCTGCGGACCATACATGTTTGAGATACTATTATGTCAGCCAACAATCCTGTGATCATCTTGTCGCCACTGGGAACATGTATGACATCAACACGAACAGAAGGGCGGACGCCTTCATGGTTTGCTGATGTGAGTCATTGGCGAAAATTGATTTTTAATTTTGTTCTTGTATTTTTCGTAGATATTTGAAACAGCATTTAAACTTATACAGGGGATGGAGACATGCGCTGTTACTGAAATAGCAATATAAACAGAAAGTAGACCCTTCTGTAATAATGGTCTTCCATGAAAGCTGTAGTTTGGTAGAGATGATTGGCAGAAGTGGTTATACGTCTGACTTGATATTTGAAGGGCGGGTCGAGTTGGTGCCGCGCGGATTGGTAGCTTCGAATCCCATTGGGTTTAAAACTTGGACTATATTCTGTACCTTTGTGTACCCTTGGAATTTAAAATTGGAAATGACAACTAATATTCATAAGAATGGTTTAGGCTCATAGCTGATTGAGAGATACACAATAAAGACATACGCTGTATTTAACTATACAAAATGCTTTTTTTTCAGGTTTGTCTATAGATTCAAAAGACTGTGGATCCAGAAATTATACACCTTTTAAAGTTCCTAAAAATACAATCTGTATTAATCAACAAAGTTTGCCAAATGTAAACTGTGGGTTTTTTAATACAAACTAAGACACATTTTGAAATTACCTTTGAATAAAACTAAATATTAGTTTTCACTAAGTGTTTCTTTCTTAATTTTTATTACTGTTGTTTTTTCTAATCGTCTACATTAAGTGTTATTACATATTTTAAAGTTAATAATTTTACCCACAAACAATATTGAAATTGGCGACAAAATACACACAAGTATGGTCAAAATTACACAGAAAATTATTCTAATCGTTAGATTACACTTATATAAAAAGCAGATTTCTCTTACATAATAAAATATAAGTTTGTTTCTACACTACACTACACTACACTACACTACACTACACTACACTACACTACACTACACTACACTACACTACACTACACTACACTACACTACACTACACTACACTACACTACACTACACTACACTACACTACACTACACTACACTACACTACACTACACTACACTACACTACACTACACTACACTACACTACACTACACTACACTACACTACACTACACTACACTACACTACACTACACTACACTACACTACACTACACTACACTACATTACACTACACTACACTACACTACACTACACTACACTACACTACACTACACTACACTACACTACACTACACTACACTACCTTACCCTACCCTACACATGAAGTAAATAGCAAGAACGGCTTATTTAATACCTTACTTTGTTTATTATTGTGATGTCTGAGTCATTTTGATCCATAACACACGTATACGTTGTGTGTAATTTTACACATGTAACAAAGTAGCTGCAATAAATAATATTTAAGTATTCTTTAAACTTAACGTGAAATTAATAAAACTCAAATGCAAGCAATGTTATCTTGTGTTGACTTTTTTTTAAATAGAAAATTCTATTTAAAAATATATTGCTTTTTAAATTATGTGTGATTTAATTTAAAGCAGTTACTAAGCTACACACGTAATTGTTACGTGTGTCTTTGGTATATTTTATATTTTCCTAAACAGAAGAAAACGCTTAGCCTTAAATATATTGAAAATAAATATTAAGACAAGTGCACATGAAAATGTACTGGCAGATGCTAATAACATGAATATCAACTAAGATGGCAAAAATACAGGCGGTAGAGTGTTTTTTATTTCTTAAAAGAGAAATAACTTTACTCATACTTCGGAAAAAATATAAACAGCAAAGTTATATCCCCTTACCATATAAGAGTTATTATAAAGGTAAACACATTGTTCAGTGCTACTTATAAAAAAAAAACAAAAAAAAAAAAAAAAAAAAAAACTTATGATGCCGTATCTTCCGTCTGGAACCATATTAAATATTTTTAAAGACATTTTGAAGAGCATGAGACTAGGACCAGATTTTGGGTTATTTTATTGCTCGTACACAAGTAAAATCCAACGTTACATTACAGCCACACAGTGTAATAAAGAAGATTTAACTTGTGTTAAAACAATAGCCCACCGATGAAGGAGAAATGATTATCACTTTGAGATCTGGTGAGAGCTAAACGTTGAGATCATGCGAGAGCTAAGCTTTGAGATCATGCGAGAGCATACTTTGAGATCTGGCGAGAGCTATACTTTGAGATCTGGCGAGAGCTATACTTTGAGATCTGGCGAGAGCTATACTTTGAGATCTGGCGAGAGCTATACTTTGAGATCTGGCGAGAGCTATACTTTGAGATCATGCGAGAGTTAAAATATTGAGCTTCATAACTAGATATATGTTGTGACTGGAAAAGCATAGCCCATCAACACGCGAAAAATAAACTTCAGAAAAACATTGAAATATTGGTTTTAGACTAGAAAAAATGTAACAAAAAAAATACATCTGTATGTATAACTTCAATTATTTAGTCAAATAATAATCATTACCTAATCAATGGAATACTTGTGATTAGGTAGTCCGCGTTGTGGGGCGGAAGTCGGCAGTTTTTGCTCACCCAGAAGTACCGTGTTCCAACCACTGGAAATCTTTGACACGCTAGTGCGGGGAAACAACTCATCAAAGAGATGTAACTCCGGAAACAAACAGGAGTGGAGCCCCTTACATGATATATTTACCAACTCTTGTTTTCCTTTCGGCAGCTCCCGCGACTCAGCTGATGCCTTTGTGTGTAGGTAAAGCCTTTCCTTAGTAGCTGTGTAAGAGAGGGTACCTGATATATGGGCAACGTCGACTACATAACCCGTTTTTGCCACGCATCGCGCATTGATTTCCAGAGAGCAATAGTCCAACCTACTATCAGACTATGAAGATATGTATCGTATTGATTAAATTTGTCCTCACTATATAATATTGAATGATGAATGAGAATGCTAGCAATTAAAACATCAAAAGGAAAACTTGATTTTTTACCGTTTTAATACATAAAAAAAAACTTCAGAAATAAAATAAAACAACAACTGCTATATAATTAAATTAATGAAAATATTTAATATGTATTGAGCATTATTAGAACAGTTTAGTTTTAGCATTTAGGGAATAAAAGTCTAGAAAAAAGTGTAAACATAATGCTGTGAAATAATCAAAGAAATAAAAGTAGGCCTGTTGTTACTAACATTATGTGCTTATTGTTGTTCATAGCCGAAAATCTACGTTTTGTTTTGTATAAAAGTTTTTTCATGATAGCATGTCAACGAAAATTTCTTAAGTAATACACATGGTAGTCATAGAACTAACATTTGGCATTAAAATTTATCTTAGCAAAGTTTGATTAAAATATTGGTCGATAAGGTAATTTTTGTTTTAAAAAATAGTAGTAGTGTTCAAATTTTTTAAATAAATTGTACAGAATTAAAGAAAATATTTAAAACACTATCTATATTATTTCTTCCGACCCCATTCAAAGATAAACAACTCACATAATGTTTTAGGCACAGACTGGTTAAATCCCTTTACTGAAAGGACAATCATTTTGAAATGGAATTTGGGAGATAGGATGACAGTTATAGTGCGGGGAAGTTATGGTTTTAGTTGTTTTTTTTATTGACGAATGGTGCGTGTGTGTCTTGGGGTGGAGGGGGGGGGGAGACGTTTAGCCTCTGTGAAGTAATTAAAGGGCTTAAGGACTACAACTTATACATAATGCAAAAACCAAAATAACCAAAATGTACTACAACTCATCAACATGAACATAAAATAGAGTGATGTACAGAAAATATCGCAGTAATAAAAGACTTTTTTATCTATAAAAAAATGAGTGGGGCAGAAAACACGAGTACTTAAAGTAATTTAAATCGAAAAGTGTATTCCTGACAGTTTACACTAGAAAACATTTTCTAAATAATAAAGTCCAAAAATCAAAATGTTGCTGTTGAATTAGATTTCATTTTCTTTTCATTGTCTTTTGCTGGATGCTGTAATAAAAGACAATAACACGAATAAGTGATTTAACGTATGTTTATAAAATATAATTCAAAGGTTCAATTAATAGGCCTTCATAGCCCAATATGTTACTGAATATATTATTACAGTCAACATTTTACCATGTTAAGAAATTGATTCTTTTTTTTTTAAATTTAGAATCAATAAAAAATGCTTACAGTCGGCACGACATATAACCAATGATGTTGTTGGCTGTTAGATATTGGGTACAATCAGTAGTTGAATCAATAAGTGTTGCTGGATTGCCCGTAATTTCACCCACTGAAAGAGACGTCGGTAAAATACTGATTTTAAATGGGTTATCATTTGACTGATTGCTTTAAGTTGCGATTTTTACATTCATAAGTGTCAACAAAGACGATATAATCAAATTTGAAAAACTGTTATACCGACTAAAATTTACAAGAATATGAATTTATGAGGTCAGCTGTAATTGCAGGAAAAAAGATAAATATATATACATACATATATATATATATATATATATATATATATATATATATATATATATATATATATATATATATATATATATATATATATATATATATATATAAGTATTTGACATTGCGTTTTATTTTATGTTTTATTAAAACCATTTACTTTATTATTATAGTCTGATTATAAATGGATGTAAATTAGAAGGGAACTAACCTTGGCACACTACAATAACTATGGCGAGCAAGATAAACAATGTTTTGGAAGACATATTATTTAGCACAGGTTTATGCTGATCTTCTGGAAGTTTTGAGAAAATTAACAAATTAAAAAACAGCGCTGTACTTAAATTTTTAATTTTAAACTTTTAATTTCCGTTTATATTCCAGTTGTATTCAATTTAGTTATACATAGTAATACAGTTCAATTGTCTAAAACAGGGGTCTCTAAACTTTTTAGCCCCAGGGCCGCATTAACTATCAAATATCAGTTCAGGGGCCAGAGTTTCCTCCATGGGTCTCTTTGGGGTGGCGGAGTCCCCCCGCACTCGCCCCCATGAAATATAATTTATATAGAAATATATACACATTTAAAATGCCACCCCCTCCCCCAGGAGAAAACGTCTAAAAGACAACACACTCGATGTCCAAAAACCCACTCGCCATTTTTTGAACTTGTCTCTAAGGAAGTCATTTGCTTGCAATTAAATGATCTCCATCTGCAGTTCATCAGGGCAACTGGCTACATTTGCTTCAATTGGGGTTTGAAACAGTCTCACTTCTTTTGCCTTTGAATCCTAATCAGAAAACCGCTACTGATACTGCAGCGGGAGGTGTTTGATGATCTCGCATGCAAATGATGTGGGGAACTCAGTGGTCGCTTCAGCCATGAAGACCTTGCACGGCTAAAAGTGCGTCAAGTTGTTGCCCTGTACTTGTTCCAAAAACATGGAACAACTGTCTAGGGACTCATCCATTGCAATTGAAAAATTGCGAAACTTGTTAGCAGTTTTCAATATTTGAGTCACAATGTTTTCATCAATGTCTGCAACACGGAGGGCAATGGTATTTGCACCTAAAGCTATATTATCAAATTGTTTTACATTTTCTGGGCAAAGTTCCTCAGCCACCTCTAACAAACATTTTTTTTTGTGAACAAAAAGACCTCCGCGGGCCGGATGAGAGGATCTCGCGGGCCGCATCCGGCCGAGGGCCGTAGTTTGGAGACCCCTGGTCTAAAA